TCGGGTTCTCCTGTGTTGGGTGTGGAAATATTTACAATTGTTGTATCTTCTTGTTGCATTGTTCCCTTTATGATTATGTAATGTCCTTGTCTCTTGTTGCAGTCTCCGTTTTAAGGTCTATTTTGTCTGATAAAGGTATTGCTACCTCAGCCTTCTTTTCACTTCCATTTGTATGATAAATGCTTTTCCATCCCTTCACTTTCAATCTGTATGTGTATGTCCCTTGCAGACAGCATGTAGATAAAGCTTATTTCTTTGATCCATGTTATCATCCTGTCTTTTGATTTAGTCCATTTACATTCAAAGTAATTATTGATAGATATGTACTTATTGCCATTTTGTTACTTGTTTTATGATTGTTCTTGTAGTTCTACTCTGTTTCTTTTTCTCTTGCTCTCTTCTCTCATGGTTTGCTGGTTTTCTTTAGTGATATACTTAGATTCCTTTTTCTTGATTTTTTTAGCATATGTATTATGGGTTTTGATTTGTGTTTACCATTAGATTTGCATACAATATCTTATAGATAGCAGCATATATTGTTGATATATATATACACACACACCATTATATATATGATATATATATATATATATATATATATACACATATTGTTGTTTATATATACCATTGTTGATGGTGGCTTAAGTTTATTTATTTATTTTTTTAAAAGATTTTTATTTATTTATTCATGAGAGACACACACACACAGAGAGAGGCAGAGACTGGGCAGAGGGAGAAGAAGGCTCCTCACAGGGAGCTTGATGGGACTTGATCCCTGAACCTGGGAATCACTCCCTGAGCCAAAAGCAGATGCTCAATCACTGAGCCACCCAGGTACCCTGATGGCTTAAATTTAAACCCTTTCTTTACCCCTCTTCCAGCCCCCACATTTTAGGTATATTGTGTCGTACTTTACATCCTTTTATTTTGTGAATCCTTTGTCTGATTTTTATAGATACACTTAATTGTACTGCTTTTGTGTTTACTACTTTCCTTACTCTTGCTTATGGTCTTTTCCACTCATAGAGTCCCCTTTAACATTCCTCATGGGGCTGGTTTAGTGGTCATGAATTCCTTTAACTTTTATTTATCTTTGAAACACTTTATCTCTCTATTCTGAATGATATCCTTACTGAATAGAGTATTCTTGGTAGCAGGCTTTTTTTCTTGCAGTACTTTGAATATATCATGCCGCTCTCTTCAGGCCTGTGAAATTTCTGCTGAAAAATCAGCTGATAGCCTTCTAGTGTATACCTTGTATGTAATTTTCTTTTCTCTTTTGACTTTTAAAATTCTCTTTATCACTACTTTTTGCCATTTTTAATTATTGTGTGTCTCCTTGGGGTGATTTTGTTGGAGGCTCTCTGTGCCTCTTGGATCTGGGTTTCTATTTCCTTCCTCAGATTCAGGAAGTTTTCAGCTATTATTTTTTCAAATAAATTTTCTTTGCCCTCTTCTCTCTCTTCTTCTGGGATCCCTATAGTGTGAATGTTATTATAATTCATGGTATTGTTGAATTCACTAAGTCTATTTTCATTTTTTATTATTTTCATTTTTTATTATTATTTTTACTCTCTCTTGTTTTGCTTGATTGCTTTCCATTACTCTGTCCTCCAGGTTGCTTATCTGTTCTTTGGCTTCCTCTAGTCTGCTATTTATTCCATCTAGTGTATTTTTAATTTTAGTTATTGTGTTCTTCACTTCTGATTGGTTCTTCACCTTTTCTGTTTGTTAAGGGTCTCACTGATGTCCTCCATATTTTCCTCAAGTCCACTGAGTATCTTATGATTATTACTTTAAGTTCCATATTTACATTTAGCTGGAAAGGGTCTGTTCTGCTAGTCTTTGGGTCATTTTCTGGGTTATTTTCACTGATGTTGGTGTTTTCTAGGTGTATCTGTGGGACAAGTGAGCTTAAGGTCCTCCTACTCTGCTGTCTTCCCTGGAAGTCTCTCTGCTTTATTGAACTAGAAAAAAAAAAAAAGGAGGGAAAGGGGGAGGGAGAAGGAGAGGGAGGGAGAGAGAGAGCGAGAGCGAGCGAGAGAGAGAGAGAGAGTTAGAAATAATAGGCATAGGATACCCCAAGGAAAAATACTAAGGACTATTATTTACTTCAAACTTTACCAGGGATTTCTACATATAAATGTAATGAATGTATTTCACTATGTGTCAGGGAACGTTTGACAAAGAAATGAAATAAACAAAATAAATTTAGAATAATCTAAACAACTTAAAGAACATCTAGTTTCAAAGAATCTTAGAATTCAGAAAGTACATTAAATATCAGGTCTAAACTCACTTTATATGCCTTATGGCATTTGAAGTTGAGTGATTTGCTCTATATCATTTATCTGGTTATGATAGATATGGAATTTGAGTTTCTCACACCATTCTATGGATTCCCACTATTTTCCTATCACTGTTAATATGGCATATGCAATCATTTTGATGTTTTAAGAATGTGTGAAAATTAATGCATCTTCAAAGCTTGAGCCTATCCACCTTTATGGAAGGTAAATAGCATTTTAAAGCAGGAATTTTGGGAAATAATTTATATTTGAATTTTTTGTTCCTTTTTCAATTGGTGACTTTTAATCAGGATTCTCCAGGGAAATAGAACCATCAAGAAATATTTATATCAATATCTATATCTGTATATATCAATATATACATATATCTATATCAAAAGAGAGCATGATCTGTTAGAAGAAATTGACTTACATGATTATGGAGGCTGAGAAATCCCATAATCTGCCGTCTGCAAGCTGGAGGCCCAGAAAAACTGGTGGCATAATTTTGGTCCAAGCCTCAAGGCCTGAGGATCAGGAAAATAAAGGTGTTAAGTTCAGTCCAGGTCCAAAAGCCCAAGAACCAGGGAAATGATGCTGTAAGCTCCCCAGTCTACGTTCAGGAGAAAGCCAAAATCTCAGCTCCACCAATGAGGCAGAGAGGAAATTCTTCCTTCTTCTACCTTTTTGTTATAGTAAGACTCTCAATGATTTGGATGAGGCCGACCTAAATTGAGGAGCAAAATCTGCTTTACACAATCTTCAGATTCAAATGCTAATCTTGTCTGGAAACACTCTCATAAGCATGCCCACAAATAATGTTTTGGCAAATATTTGGGTACCTCCTAATCCGGTCTAATTGACACATAAAATTAACCTTCACAGTGATCTCAAACAATTTACTGAATTTTTCTGAGCCTCAAGTACTTTGTCTGCAAAATGGGGGAGTTACTATCCATTCCACCAGGTTATTTTAAGGCTTAAACAAGATGCACTTGATTAAGAGATCAACCCTTTTTTACACATAATGACTATTCAATTAATGACAATTCTTTTTCCTCCCTCTCTCTGTATTGCTAATAAAAATATCCAGTTACATTATACTATAAGCCTGTTATGGGTTGAATTGTGTCTTCTCAGACAAAAGAAAATTCATATGTTGAAGTCCTAAATCTCAGTACCTCATAATTTAACTGTAGTTAGAGATAGATTGTTAAGAGATAATCAAGTTAAAATGAGATCACTGAGGGGGAGGGGCCCTAATCCATTATGAATGGTATGCTTATAAAAAGGGAAATATTTAACACAGAGAGACACACACAGATGCACACAGGGAGAATGTCATGTGAAGACTGGAACTGTGCTGTCACAAGCCAAACAAATACCAGAAATTGGTAGGATAGGGGTCTGGAATAGATCCTTTCCTGGTGTCTTCAAAACAAGCATGGTTTTGCCCACACTTTTTCCAGCCTCCGGAACTATGAGACAATAAATTTTTGTTATTTAAGCCATTCAGTTTTTGGCACTTTGTTACAGCAGCCCTAGGAAACTAATACACCTGTATTTCTTGGATTGATGATTACTTATAATGACATCTCTTAGAAATAATTCTTCATTAGCCCTTATGAGGATATATAAGGTCCTTCTTTTCCAATTTCAAGGAAAGTAGATCTAAAACCCGTTCTGGCCTAACTCTTAGTTAACATGCCTCTCAAGAGTAGAGAAGGTAAGGCATCTCTTATTATATGTGATTCTAGTTCTAGTTTTTTAATATCCTACTAAACCTAGGCTATTCATACAGGTCATGGGTTGATGGAGTAGATAGGTGGATGAATGGATGGATGGATGGATGGATGGATGGATGGATGGAGAAAGAGAGATGACAGATGATAGAAGATAGAGAAAGGAAGAATGATCTCTATTTCTATTCCTGTATATATGTCTATATCTGCATCTCTATTATCTATATCTATCCTGCTTTTTAAGAAACATAATAACATAAGCTTATTCCCCCCATTTTATCAAAAACTTGCTACAAACATCATTTTAATAAAATGGTCATGTCATACTCTCTCATATGTTTGTATTTACTACGATTTGCCAATCCCAATGCATTGTTAGGTGATTGATGTCCCTTCCTCTTTTTACCATATTTTCTTAAATAAAACTTTGTCCACATTTCAAGATATTTTCTTAAAATAGTGTACTAGAAAAGCAATCACTAGACCAAAGGCTATAGACATTTTTTAATATTCTTGATACCTATTGCCAATTGCTTTGCAGAAAAACTGGTGTTCTTTCCTTTGGGATTTAATCCCAAGACAATTCTTTGTAACAAGAGAAGGAAATAAGGTCACGAAGAGCAATGGGAGCACTAGCATTCAGCTGCCACAAACAGGTAATGAAATTTCCTTATGAAGAGCTCAAAGCCTTGCATGGTGTATCTATAATATGCAGGTAATTCAAGCAATCTCTGGCTCAATCTTTCTGGAACCCAACATACAAATGCAATATGGGATATTAAATTGTCAGCTCATGTACTGAGCAGAAGTCATCTCTATCCTCTCCATTCTCTGGGTTGTTTCTTCTCGAGTGTTTAGTTCAGCGATAATTTCCAGTAAACTGTTGTCACTTGAAAATAAACAGTCTGGACAATGTATGTTCCATTTGGAACACTGAGAAAATAAACAGCCTAGGATATGCCTAGGATATGCTTCCTACTTGTCTATGTAGCCCTTTTTGGAATGTGTGCTCCAGATACTTTACTTTTCTTCCCTAAAGCAGAAGTTTTATTTAAAATAAAGCTACTTATTTGGTACTTCTGGGCAATCCTCTTTTGAAGAACCACAGCAATGAGTGGCTTTGGAGCCCTACTTCGAAGAAACCAGTTCATCCTTCTGGTGCTCTTTCTTTTGCAAATTCAGAGTCTAGGTCTGGATATGGATAGTCGTCCTACCACTGAAGTCTGTGCCACACACACAATTGCACCAGGACCCAAAGGTGAGGAAAGAAACAAAATGTTCATAAGTGATAAGTGAACTCTCTTCTCTCCTCCTTCAACCCTATTGTAACTCTCAATGACTTTCTTTTCTCCCTAGCGTCCTTTCCTTCTATTTTGGAAATTCAATGGCCTGTTATCTATTTAAAAACCTTCCTTGATGTTATTAGGTAGGAGAATGCTGGGAGGGTGTAGAACTCACCCAGGGCAGGGGAAAATTCTCTTCTCCCTGCTGTTCCAGGGGAACATAAGCTGAGACTTCAGCCTTTCAGGAATACTTTCCTTAAGACCATCTCTGTTCTTGGGCTGATTTTATTCAAATGCTTTTCTCAACACTGATTTTGGTAAAGTTGCCAGGCAAAAGCTCAGTAACAAGAAAATTAAATCTTTCATATATTTCATAAATTAGTGGGCTTCCCATGAAGAAGAGAAATTTTGTCAAGGATTGCAAGTAGTGTATAAATGAACAGTTATTTATTGAAAGTTGAGTCTTTGGGCCCAAGTGCCTTCAGCTGAAGGATGATAGAGTATTGCAGAATTTTTTCAAGTAGAGCCAAGGTCTAAATGTGCTTCAAGCAACTGGTTGATAAAAAATGCTGCTGTTTTCCTGGTTTCAGTTCTGACCCTTTTGTTCTAAAAGTGGTCACTGCAGTGCAAATTGGTGCTCCCTCATTAGTAATTCATGTTATGTTTCTCCAGGCTATAGGGTGGAAGAATTGCAGCTGCTTAAAATTTTAAGTAGAAAAAAAAGGGTCTTTCAGAAAAAGCAGAAATACATCGCCCTATGCTTGTCAGTTATTTAAATGTGTATTGCTTAAAGTGCATTTTTCTTAATCAGTGAATTAATTTCCTCCTAAGATTGCAATCCAAGCTTTAACCTTTGATACCATAAAATAAATGCAGGGAGTAACAATGAGACCTTGGGGCTTCCAAATAATTTCTTGGGTGAATAATGAATAATGCAAGGGCAAGTGTTCAGAAAAGAAAGTTTTGATTAGAAATAAAAGTATTTACTTAAAACTATTATTGGACTTTCCAATAATGTACAGATAACTTTGTGTTATTCCTGGGGTATCATGGAAAATGCTGAAAATTAAGTTTTCCTTGTCCCTGCAAATGAGAGAGTCCATTTGGAAATAATACTGTTAAACAATTTTCCTTGCCGAGAAACTACAGCTTTCAAGCTAGAAGAATGCACAGAGTTTGTCAAAGTAACTTCCAAAATACCATGCATTCCAGTACCGCAATTCTATTTATTCCAATTTGGCCAAAACATATCGAGTACCTATTAAGTGCCATGCATTATTTTAGGCATAAGAGATGCATCAAATAACATATATTAGTGCCATAAGCAATAAATGGAAAAACTTAGGAGGGAAGAGTGGGCAATTAATTTTTATTAGATACCAGCAGCCTGTTCGTCACGGTCTTCCTATTCCCATTTCTTTTTTTTTTTTTTAAAGATTTTATTTATTTATTCATGAGAGACACACACACACACACACACAGAGAGAGAGAGAGAGAGAGAGAGAGGCAGAGACACAGGTAGAGAGAGAGGGGCAAGCTTTTCGCAGGGAGCCCGATGTGGGACTCGATCCTGGGACTGGGATCACGCCCTGAGCCAAAGGCAGACACTCAACCACTGAGGTACCCAGGCGTCCCAATTTCTTGATGTAAAATGTTCCCCTTCCCACTAGAAACCTTGCAAAGATTTCAAACAATGTAAATCCTTCACTCTTCCTGAGCCTGTGTCCTCTAGAACGCTGGGGTTCCAGAACTACGTTCCTAACTAGGACCTAGCATGATTTTTTCTTCCCCCAGAGCCTGAGGGCTTTGCATCAAAATGAATTCTAAGTTCCCTTCTTATTTTTTTTACGATGTTATTTATTTATTCATAAGAGACACACAGAGAGAGGCAGAGACACAGGCAGAGGGAGAAGCAGGCTCCATGCAGGGAGCCCGATGTAGGACTCAATCCCAGATCCCAGGATTACGCCCTGAGCAGGCACTCAACTGCAGAGCCACCCAGGCATTCCTAGCTACCACTTCTCCTTGTCTCTGCCCTACTGGATCCTTTCCCATTAACCACAGTCTAAATTCTTGGTATCTGGCTTTAGATCAGTCTACTGTCTCCATTTTACTGAAATCAGGGAGGATGTTGTAGGTCCTCTGTGGACAGATACATAGTTAGCTCAAAGAAGGAAACACTCAATTGAGAGTGGGAACTTGTGCACAGAAAAAGGTAGTTAAAACCTGAATGTCCGCTGTGTTGATCCTTTGTTAACTGAGACAGATCAGACGTGAGGAGAACGGGCTAGGAAAACCATTAAAAATGGGTTTTATTCTCTGCCTGTATGTGGTCAAGTTCATTTTGGAAAATGCTTCCCTACTTGCTCGGCCCAACAAACACATGCAGATCAAGGAATTCAAATCTTCAGGTTCAAGAACACCCGTGAAACTGCCTGAGTTATCAAGGCCATGCATATCTGTAAAGCCACCAAGTATTTGAAAGATGCTACTTTAAGCAACTTCCACCATTCGGTCATATGATGGTAGAGTTGCCATTGCACAATTCCAAACAGGGGCACTGGACACAGGTTTGGTGGCACAGAGTGCGAGCCAAAGGCAAATGCTCACTGAGCCACCCAGGCATTCCTAAGTTCCCTCCTTATTAAAGACACTCTACAATTCTGGAATGTAATGTATGGAATATCTTCTACATCTCAGGCCTCATCTTAGGTGCTAAAGGTTTCAAATTAAAGCACTTATTCTAGAACATGTTTACATTTCAAGCTGAATATTAGATTGCAAGCTGTTGGACTCAGGGCTCGGTTGACTCAGTTTTTTCTTTGCAAATTGCCTATATTCATGTGCATGGAGCAACCTGTGTATCTCCATCACCGCCTCTCTGCCACCCTCCGCACTGCACCATGCTAGATGCTGTGCCTACAAATGAAAAAAAAGAGTTAGTTTTTGTCATCTCTCAAGACACAAACAGCCGTCTACCCTATTTCATTCCTGAACATAATAGCTCCTCCCTACCTCTGAACAAGGCAGATTTGCATATTTATTTCTGCAAAAACCAAATACTAACAATAAAGAAAAACAAGCTTGTTGGCGAAGGAAACATTTTAAAGGACTGAATTATTGCTTCTGTTCAATATATTTTTCCTACAACCAAGCTGGTCTATCATTTTTCTCTACAGCAAATCATGTCAATACTATAGTTACCAGTACTGTGCTTAGAAACTTCTAGATACTCTGAGAAACAATAAAAGGCGTTTTCTTTAAATGCATTTGGAAGTCTGGGAACTAAATAAACTATTTAGAGTTGCAAGAGGAAAACAAGTAATGCTAACCTGTCATATAATATATTGTCCAATATCGACTCACCATTTTTTACTGCATTATTTCCCAAGCATAAATTGGTGGGAAGAAAGACATTGAATTCAATCTGTTTGATCTCCAGTATGCTATAACATATATTTGTGCTTAGTTCTTTTATTTGCAAAGTGCTTCATTAGGGAACTGTTTTAAGAATAATATAAGCTAATAAATGTATACTTTAAGCAGTGTAGACATCATAAATAGATAATTAAATTCTATTTATTTTTCCTTCTTCTCCTTGTTTATCTAAGTCTGTTGAGTAACAATGTTGGGGTTCAGTAATGTTCCAATTATCAAAACTTCTCTGTTGAAAGCCATCTTTATTTTCCTTTCTATGCCTAAATTTATTATTTTGTGCTGTTTAGTAGAAAATGTCTTTCCCACCTTCCTGGTTTCTTTATTAAACAATTCGTGTAAAATTCTGACCTCTAGTGGTTTTACTTGAAAACAGCAGTGGCAAGAAATTTTAATAAGAAATGTTCAAAAGAAATGTAGAAATAATAAATATTTGAGTGATGATTCATAATTTCCGAAGTATTTTCAAGTAGATTATCTTGTTTAATTTTCACAATTGCCCTATGTGACAGCAATTACTTTAAACTTAAAAGATAAGGAAACAATCTCAACGAGGCCAAGTAGAACTCTCAAGGTCTCTCACATACTTAAAGAACAGATACACAATTTTAACTTTAGCCCTGGCCTCCTGGCTCTGGGTCCAGTACCATTCCATGACATCTGCTGGTTTCTATCAGAATCAAGTTTGAAAATATAGTCTACTGACCCCTTTGTGATAAGAAATGGATGCAACGATGCCTAAGAACATAATGTTCACACAACCTTACAGCTCAACATTGTACTGGATATTAAAATATGCTGAAAGTAATGATATCCCTCCTTTTTGATAATCAACTCCATTACTTCATTAGTTTGTTTGAAAATTAAAGATATTTTGCCTTATTGCTTATGTTGGATTCCATTAGCTTCTTTATTTAGGAGCTTTTCCCCCCAATGACTTTTGTGTGTGTGGCCTAAAAGCTTTTTTGTAATCCATCTGGCTTCTCCCTACTTCTCCTACATCAAACTGCTTTTCCACTTGTAGTCTGATTCAGGCATCCTTGCTTTGTCTCTCATTGTTGCCCAAAATATTGGGCAATATATTGCCCAATATCTTTGTCCTTGATGTTTCTTCTGTCTGGCTCAAACTTACCCCAGGCCAGATCTCCCCAAGGATCATTCCTTCTCCTCATTTACGTTTTAGCTCAAATGTCATTTGCATGGTAGGGCCCTATCTGATACCCCTTCAGTCTCTGGATCCTAGCAACTGGCACAACTTGAGTTTTTTCCAGGTAACTTCTCAGCCTCCAGTGCAAACAAGCCTTCTCCTGACTTTCCCAAACAGATGGCCAGATATGCCCGGGAATGTCTGGATTATTTTCACAGCCAAATTGTAAGTCTTACTACCCATAATGTAACTATCAGAGATAATTTGTTTTAATCCTAGTTGTTTTTACATTTGTTAAAGCTGAAGCCCAGAGAGGTAAAAATAACTCGTTTAGGTCACACAGTGATTAACTGGTGGCAGGGCTAGAACTGGAATTCAGATTCTAATCGCCAG